TATCACATATAACAAATACATAGTTTGGTATGTCAGAAGTATCAAGCCATTGGTACGATTGCTAATCTGGGTCTAAACCAGTGGTTCTTAACCTGGGTTCGATCGAACCCCAGGGGTTCGGTGAGTCAGTCTCGCGGGTTCGGCGGAGGTGAAGACCCACACCTGACTCATATGATTCATGCAGTAAATATTCATTATTATGTTTTTGTTTTTGTGTGAAAATCATGTTTTAATGGTTTTGTTCTTTGTTCTTAACGGTTTTGTTCATTTTGTGCACCTATGTATAAATATATACCTAAATATATACCTATGTTTTGAATTTTAAAAATCATATTTTATTTTTCCAATTAAGAAGGGTTCGATGAATGCGCATATGAAACTGGTGGGGTTCAGTACCTCCAACAAGGTTAAGAACCACTGGTCTAAACAGTGGAAAAAGAAGATCCAGCCAAAAAATTCACACCCCCTTACAGTGTGTTTTGTCAAGAGAAGGAAGAAAGGAGTCCCTAGTTACAGAGATGCTAATGGTTAATATGTTTGTCAGTTTAACCTGCATTTATACATGTAGAAAAAAGGATCAAGCATGGCAAATTTGATTAGGGAGCTAAAGCAGTTTTAAACCTAAAAGCAAACATTTATTATATTACATCTTGCCAATTCTTATGCCCATACACACTATAATAAAATCAGACGAACGTATTCGTCCGACGAGCAATCGTGCAATTTTCTGACGGTGTGTACATCATTTTCTACAGCCGATTCCGATCTTACAAACAAAAATTAACGATGGTGCAAACATCAAAATTTTTTTCGTTTGTGAACAGAACGAATGATTTTTGTTTAATGTGTACAGTTTTCGTACAAGAAGAATTGGATACGAAAGACCGCGCATGATCGGAAGCTGCTTATGACCCGGAAGAACCTAAAGAAAATAAACACCACGGAATATTTGTAGCATTACAGCCATTAATGTCATTAAGCATGTTTTCTTCACCCAACCCCCAAAAAACTAACATAACATATGTCACTGCATCACAATTAATGTGTGTGTTTGCTTGTTGTTGTAAAAATAAAACCACAAATAAAAAAATTATGTTTTCAACAATAACTTTATTATTCACAATATTCCCATTATACCATGGTCCAAAAAAACCCATAACCATGATGAACAAAGTGCACAACATAATGCTTTATAACATGTCCAGAAAACAAAGAAAAACAGAACATTAAACTAAAGATTGGTGTAATGATAATCCTGGCACCATGACGAGGATTGACAATCAGGTGCAGGATAATGCCATTGTGGTGTGTGCTGCAGTGATGAAGGTGGTGTTGGTGTTGTTGGAGGTGGCATTGGAGGTGCAGGTTGTGATTCTGCAATGCAGGTGTTTGGGGTAATTTTTCACCTTTTGCCCCTTTATTCATTACTTGGAGCAGCAGGCACTCTGCCATTTGTCTCTGGTGAACAGAAATGTTTCACAGTTTATTGGCAGTCAATATTCCAAAGGCATCCTGTCATCGGCTCTCCTCTGTAGGGCTGCTGAAGCTTGTGTAAGGAAGGATGTAGTAGCATCATCCAGATTTTTCCTTTTTCTTAGTCTAGCCACAGGTGTTCTTGGTGGTGACATGATGGTTCCATTTGAAATTTCCTAGGGATGGAAGTAGTATTTAACAAATCATCCAAAATTCTAAAGTACTTACAGATGAGAGGCATATATATAGGCAAATAGTGCATAATAGTAGGAATGGATCATTTCAGGAATAAAAGGTGTTAAAAAATAAACTATTTTACCGGTGTTACTGATAGCTCCTGTGTCAGTGGTAGTTCCTGTGTCACTGATTGCTCCTGTGTCAGTGGTAGCTCCTCTGGGTCATCTCCATACAGTTCAGGTGACGACTCAGTTGAAGTTGATGGAAGAGTTGACAATGAGGTTCTGGAGTCACAATGATCAGTGAGAAAGGGCAAGCTGTTAAAGTTCCAAAGTATTGGTACATAGATGTCATCTGCTGCAGCCCCTGACTGTTCAGATGCACTGATTTTGTTTTGTTCTTTTTTAAATACTGTCCTCAGATTAGCAATTTTTGTTTAACATAATTGATATTTGCTTGTGGACAGACAGCTTTGCACATTTCAGCAAGCTTGTTGTAGGCCTCATGCTTTTTATTTTTGTCCGAGTAGTCCTTGGCCTTGACTTTCCACAAACAAGGCATCTGCTTGTATTGGTCAATGAACAATGGCAAGAATTCAGGCGATGTAAATTTGTCTGCCATGGCTCCTGTCAAAGAAATCCAACATATAATGCCTTATCAGTATGATATTGCATGAACTATTAATATATTGAATTTAAGCCTAAAGAGAACATGTCAAGGCTTACCTTCGTTCGTGACATTTCTTTAGAAGATGAAATGTTCTGAGTTTCGTAACGAAATATTCGTTGTGACTCAACGATCACTCGGTATGGAAGCTAGTGAGTGTGCGTCGTGAGCTCTGCCCCTGTCACACCCTACCCGCACTGTGTATGTGAATTATCACCAGCAAGCAGCATGGAGGACACAGAAGAGACACAGCCTTCCAAGACAGAGCACAGCAAGAAGGTTTCCAGAAATATAAAAAAGGCTACAGCCATGAGCAGAGGATAAATGCTGGAGCTTGTGTTTCTGCTTGAAAGAAATGACTATGATAGCAAACTTAAAAACTACAGAAAGCCAAATACAAGAAAAGATAAGATTCTAGATGAAGTGATAGAAGCTCTCAAGAATAAATATGGCATCCTACATTAAAAAGATCAACTCTGGAAAAGATGGTCAGATCCTAAACGCAGGGAATAGGCCCAACTAGGTCCCATCCACCAACTCATCCAAAAAGTAAGTTTTTTAATTTTTATTTATTTTTTTTTACTTTTGTGCATATATTAAGTAAACTCTTTTAATTTTTAAAGGAAAGATAAAGAAGAAGCTTGCAAAGAAAAAAGTACGCAAGTTCCAATATGTTAAGACCATGGCGGGTGGAAATGAAGACCAGGAACATGAACAACAACTAGCATCCTATATGGCGGAGCAATCCACAGGTATGTGCAAATAATATTTGTACATGTTTAGAACATATATTGTGTATTTATAACTGCACATGTTAGTGGGCATTCAACACGTCAGGGAACAACAACTGTACTTGATGAGGAATGCAGGTAGAGTGGGTGAGTATAAATGTTTTTTGTTTAGGTGGATGTTCCATTTGGTTCCTGTAGGTTACATGGTAAAAAAAAAAAAAAAAATTTACTTTTGTCTGGGTTTTGCAAACAGCAGGCCTGATCCACCACTTGTCTACCCCTCAGGCGCTGCTGGATACTCCCCCTAGTGCCCCCTAGCAAGCTGATTTACATGGGCTCGCTGCAGAGCTAGCTCTGTGTTTCTATGTATACACACATAGCATGTCTCAGCCCCACTCCCTTCCAGTTTGGGAAGTGTACCTCATGCATTGAATGGCTGAAGGTGAAAAAGGTGAAAATATAATGCAACCTTTGCAATCATATGGGAAAATGTTTTGGTAACATTTTGTCTTCTCTGCAGGATCATCAAGGCATCTTAAAGTGGACAAACCATCTTTGAAAACAGTGCAAGACAAGGAAAGCATTGAAGAATCCACCCCAAAGGATACAGGATGTAAAGGTAGGTTGGCAATGCAAGAATTATTGTGTATATATATGTAAGGAGATTGTATATTCCTAAATATATATTCTACAAATTATTTTTATTGTATTTTTTTCATATTTTTTACATTTAAGAACAAACATCCATCAAACAAGGGGAAAGACAAAACAAGGACCAGCAGTCTCACAATGAAGATTCAGGATTAGATGTATGGGAGCATCCCCCTCGTGATGCATTGTGGCTCTGGAAATGATCGATGTCAGCTCAGTTGGAGGGGATGAAGAAAAGCCTGCTTCACCCACACAAGAAAGTCATCATGGGTCCTTTGCACGTAAGTGTCAGTATGTACCTACTTGTATAATTGGAGTTCTTTGATCAATGTTGTATTATTAACATTACTTTTTCACAGGCCATGTAGTGGACAGTGCCACAATTGCATGCATGACTATGGATTTATTCCAGTGCTGTGGTGAACTGCATAAAATATGAGATTCTGTTACTTCACTTCTGCACAGACTGGAGGACTTCATAGACCTCATTGGCAAATTTTAGACGACAAGAGAGTTTTCAACATGTTTTCGTTTTATGTTCTTGTTGTTGATAACATGTTCAAATGTTTTTACAGCCTTTTTTTGGTCTTTTGGTTGTACTATGTTTTCCATTTACATGTCTGGTGTTACAATATGTGAGCTAATGAAGGAAATAACCAATAGGTACTACAAACTCCACACTGCAAAGCTATCCTCTTGGAACTTTTATTAATGTAAATTGTGTTTTTCAACTTTCCTGCAATATCTCCATTGGGAAGATGTTATGTTCCACCCAATTTTTGGTTGAAACCTGTAACATGTTCTCAATGCTGCAGCCGATACCGTTAATACACCCCACCCCCTTTGGCAGAAGTATGGGGAGAAGTTCCCCAACAGCTTTCACTTTTGAAAAACAGCATTGCTGTGCAATTTTGTTTTTCCAAAAGGAGAACTTTTAGCCTTTCATAGAGTGGTCCTTCTACTGGCTTCACTAATTGCAATCACCATCCATATTTTATGGTAAATATGGATAATTCACGCTTACATTCTCTAGATCAGTGATGGCGAACCTTTTTGAGCCCGAGTGCCCAAACTGCAACCCAAAACCAACTTATTTCTTTCAAAGTGCCAACACTGCAATGAAACCTGAATATCGAGCTTTTGGTTTAGAAAAAACAACTCGTACAGTAGTGCAAACTAATTAACAGTACAGGGATGACCAGAGACTGCGGACAGTACAGGGATGACCAGAGACTGCGGACACAGTACAGGGATGACCAGAGACTGCGGACACAGTACAGGGATGACCAGAGACTGCGGACATACAGGGATGACCAGAGACTGCGGACACAGTACAGGGATGACCAGAGACTGCGGACACAGTACAGGGATGACCAGAGACTGCGGACACAGTACGGGGTGACCAGAGACTGCGGACACAGTACAGGGATGACCAGAGACTGCTGACACAGTACAGGAGATGACCAGAGACTGCGGACATAGTACAGGAGATGACCACAGACTGCGGACACGGTACAGGGATGACCAGAGACTGCAGACACAGTACAGGGATGACCAGAGACTGCAGACATAGTACAGGGATGACCAGAGACTGCAGACACAGTACAGGGATGACCAGAGACTGCGGACACAGTACAGGGATGACCAGAGACTGCAGACACAGTACAGGAGATGACCAGAGACTGTGGACACAGTACAGGGATGACCAGAGACTGCAGACACAGTACAGGGATGACCAGAGACTGCAGACACAGTACAGGGATGACCAGAGACTGCGGACACAGTACAGGGATGACCAGAGACTGCAGACACAGTACAGTACAGGAGATGACCAGAGACTGTGGACAGTACAGGGATGACCAGAGACTGCGGACACAGTACAGGAGATGACCAGAGACTGCGGACAGTACAGGGATGACCAGAGACTGCGGACAGTACAGGGATGACCAGAGACTGCGGACAGTACAGGGATGACCAGAGACTGCGGACACAGTACAGGGATGACCAGAGACTGCGGACAGTACAGGGATGACCAGAGACTGCGGACAGTACAGGAGATGACCAGAGACTGCGGACACAGTACAGGGATGACCAAGACTGCGGACAGCACAGGGATGACCAGAGACTGCGGAAAGCACAGGGATGACCAGAGACTGCGGACAGCACAGGGATGACCAGAGACTGCGGACAGTACAGATGACTGCTGACCTTTGGGGAGGGAGGGGGAGCGGGTACCTGAATTTGACAGGTACCCGCTCTTACTTCCGCAGAGTTTTTTTTTTTTATCTTACCTGTTCCTTTATCCAGCTGCGCGCTGTCTTCCCGGCTTCTGTAGTGTGGGCGCTCGTCGGACAGCCGGATGCCCAGTGCGCATGCGCGAGAAGCGCTGCGCTTTGTGATTGGTCCGGCGGCTTCTGGGATCTGTCATGTGTCCCAGGTACCGCCTTACCATTCACAAAGAGCACTGCTTCTTGCGCATGCGCACTTGGGACCCGGCTGTCACGCACACTACAGAAGCCGGGAAGACAGCGCGCCGCTGGATAGAGGGACAGGTAAGGTCCCACTGCAAAGCTGAGCGGCCGGCCCGGTATTCTGACATGGCGGCGGTGGAAATACCGGACCGGCTGCTCTATATTCGCTCCATAAGACGCACTGACGTTTTCCCCCCTTTTTTGGGGGAAAAAAAGTGTCGTCTTCTCCTGGCGTGCCCACAGATAAGGCTCGGCGTGCCGGCTGTGGCACTCGTGCCACGGGTTCGCCATCATTGCTCTAGATCATCAGTGCTCAGGTGACATTTGGATATCTTTACCTTATAAAACCAATCTTTGATCAGGCTTCCAGCTGATCATATTCCTACAGTCCTTACATTCCAAATAATTATATTGAACTACATCATGGAACCTTTATGTGGGTATTTCCTTATTTTATACCTCTATAGGAATTTATCATGTTCACACTACATAAATAAGAAATAACAACAATACAAACACATGCAAACAGTGGAAATTGCCACTATTCATGGAATTGCCTAGCTACTTCCTTCCACTCTTCAGAATTGCTTGGAAACTGTAATCAACAAAAGAAGAAAAAAATTAGTAAGACAATTTAAACAAAACACTTTAGTGTTGGCATTTTCTGAACTTCATTAAGGGAAATCAGAAAGACATTATTTCCCATAAAAATACATGAGCATTAATGATTTCGGGTTTTATAATGGGGCAATTAAGAAATGACTTGTACCTTAATGTATTCATCCTGTAGGACTTTGAGGATGGCCCCGCAGGTCTCTGGAATTATTACTCCAAGGGCTTGTGGTGAAATGCCAGTGGTGAATTTCAAATCCTGCAGGCTTCGCCCCGTGGCAAGATACCGTAGTGTGGCAATCAAATGTTGCTCCGCACTGATTGCTTCTCTGAGAATGGTATTCATCTTTGCAATGTGTGGCTTTACTGCAGTCAGGATTTGATTAAAGCAGTTGTTATTCATTCACAAATAATTTCTAAAATCATCTGGATTGTTCTCATGCAATTCTCTCAACAGAGACATATGGGAATACTGGTCACGCCTCAGTAGCCATTTCTTGCACCACAGCCTCCTTTTTGTCTTCTTCCTCTGTTGCCTCTGTATGGCCAGAATTCCAAAACCCATAATGGCAATTGCAGTATCTTCAGAACATTAGAATACGGTATCCATGACTATTTAGAAAATTTGTCACGAAAGATCCGTCACTGAGGGAAAACAAATATGGCACCGAAAGGGGTGGTTATAGGGTCACACGTACATTACATCATTTCCACAGCTACGCTACAATGTTCAGACGCAATGCCTTTATATCGTACAATATTCTCATGCATAAAAGCACATCGCTTTCGACCAGCAGCGTACGATCGATGATAACCGGACGATCGTTCATCCGATTTTCTTATAGTGTGTATGGGGCATTAGATGTGATGGCTACATTAGTTTCCTTTTTTGGCTTTCTTTCATCTATTTTCTATTTTTTCTATATCTGGTGATTCAGCCAGCAACTATAAACCATCTATTTACCACTGGCAGGGGTGGTTAAAATAATCAGCTATTAGCGAGCAGTGGTCTAAGATGGCAACGTGGTAATCCCGCTCCTTCACCACTGGCCACATCAGCCAGTATAAAGCCTCCTGGAGAGTCCTTTCCTCCCCTTTTTAAGGGCACCTGGCCTCCTGGACACCCAGTGGTCTCAATGGGATGGAAGACAGTGAACACCCGTGCTTCCAGTGCCAAGGCGGCTGACCATTCCGATCCTGAGGCTTCCTCACCGGTGCTTGAAGCCCTGCCTTCGGGCAAGCCCCTGCTGTTCTCAGGTGAGCCTGACATCTTCTCTGACTTGGAGAGTCTACATGAGGCTCAGCCCGCATATCCACAGCTGCCTCTTTGTGATGCGTACCTGTTGGCCTGCTTTAAGACTATGTTACAGGGCAAGCTGTCAGCGGCCACCTCCAAGATAGCGGCACATCTCAGCAAGGAGATTCAAGAGTTAGGTAGCTGCACTTTGGAAGACAAGATGGATGACGCAGTAACTGTGACTGAGAACCACGAAGAGGACTTGCAGGATCCTAAAAAGGATCTTGAGGCAGCTCTGCTATAACTGGAAGACTTTGAAAATAGGTCCCACTGCGGAAACCTACATCTGTGTAGCCTCCCAGAGTCCATCATGGACCTCACATCCACTGCTACAGCCCAGTTCCAAGAATAAGTTCCCGCTATCCCAATGGTTCACATGGAGTTTGACCACAATCATAAAGCCCTGGGACCAAGGAGAGAAGACGGCCCTCCCCGAGATATTATCATTAAATTTGCCTACTACCCCACCAAGGAAACCCTCCTGATGGCAGCACATGACAAGCTTGATCTGTGCTTTCAGGGTCATAAGTACCAAATCATCGGGTATCTTACTCTGTGCAGAAATGGCGACAGATAAAACCATAAACTACAGTCCTTCTGAATCAACGCATCAAATATACATGGGGGTTCCTGTTTCACTTAACCTTCACCTACAGGGACCGGAACCACATGGTCCACAATGTGGAGGAGGCCAAATCTACATTGGAGGCACTTCAACTGATGTGCCCCTGGGACACCACCAGCAGCCAGGCGTGGGCCCCAGTTCCCAACCTCCTTCCAATCAACTGGTGTGAATGTGGGAGTCTGCTTGGCAGCCGTAAGTACTCCCTCCCTAATGCCCCCACGCTATCAAGATTTGCGCTTTGAACTGGGATGAACTCGACAAGATGGGTGAACCCCCTCCTTGTTTTTCCTATATTCTATTTTTTGACTCTTAAGTCTTGTTAAAATGGGCTTTGCCCTGACCCCCCCCCCATTGCCAGCCACCACTCCAACTTGGTGGCATGGGCATGTCAGTCCCTGGCCGTTGCAGCCCACTGTTGTCCTCTATCTGATCTTGATCTGCATCTTGGATTTGTTATACATTTGTTATGATTATCCTAATGCCGGGTCTGGAGCCCCCCTTTACTACACTCCATTACTACCAGTGGGAGAACCCAAGTCTTAAACCAAGGGATGTCTGGAGTTCTCTCTATTTGAGGTTTTTTTCCTTTGGGACTCAAGGACTTTTGAATCAGGTACCTCTTATAGCTGGATCTTCAACGTGTTTCCAGTTTCTGTCCTTCCCTTTCTTCTTCCTGATTCCCTCATCCCCTTTCTGCTCCTCTCTTTCCCTTCCCCCGTCTTCCTTCCCCTTCCCTTTTACCCCCCCCCCCCCCCCCCCCCCCCCATACTCTTGACATAATGTTTTGTCCTACCTGTTCTTTACTATTATTACATGCTGAATTTTGGATCCTTGTGTCCCAATCCGGCTCCTTCACCCCTTTTGGAGGCCACGTTTACTAGCTGGACAGGCCACAATGCACTTGGCTAGACAGCCCCTGGTGGGTGCTATTACTGGACTTTAGATTGAGGATACTGTTTACATAATCTTTTATATGGTATTTTATCATTTTGGACCTGTATTGCCCTTGTTTAGATTGTTATTTGTGTCCCCTCTCCAGGGGCTATCTGCAATGTTCTTTATTCAAGCTATGTGGCCGGTGGCATGGCCACCCCCATGTGTATCTTGACGTTCTGGATGCAACCTCCATTTTCAGTGGTATTACTGTCCTATGTAAACACTCTCTGGTTTTCTTCCCTTTTTTTCCTTCATGCCTTTCTTTTTTTTCCTTTCCCTTTCTTTCTTGGATCCCGAGGGCTTCGCAGAGCCTTATTCCGGTACATGTGGTCTCCACACCCTCTTACATTGGAACGATCTTCCTTCCTTCCCCATAAAGGCTTGCAACGCCTTTAAGTTTCTTTCACAAAACATCTATGGGTTTAACTCCCAAAGTAAAAGGTCCAAGGCTTTCCATAATTTAAAATCTCAAGCTGTGGACATACTCTGCCTACAGGAGACAAGGTTTTTGCAGTCCTTAACCCCGCATTAACTCCGCATTACCTGTCTTCAAATTACCCTGTGTTCCATACTGCCTCTGCTCCCGAAAAACATAGAGGGGTGCTGATGGTGTTTCAGTGCAATCCCCCATTTACATGTAATTTAGAAATTGCTGACCCCATGGGCAGATATTTACTCCTGCAGGGTGCCTTCTGGGATTGGAAGGTCACTCTGGTGGGGTATTATGCCCCAAATATGTTTCAGCAGAGATTTTTGTTTTCCCAACTGTTACTGGTAGTT